CACGCCTGGCTAATTTTTGTATTTTTAGTAGAGACAGGGTTTCACCATGTTGGCCAGGCTGGTCTGAAACTCCTGACCTCAGGTGATCCACCCGCCTTGACCTCCCAGAGTGCCAGGATTATAGATGTGAGCCACTGTGCCCAGCCTACCTATGGCTCTTTTCAAATAAGTCTCTTCCCAAAGATTGTAGAAGGTAGTAAAGGCAGGGAGATGGAATGCCTTCCAGCATCAATAGTGCACGTCAACAAAAAATACCAAATTTGCTCCAGAAGATGTGAAAGCGGGAAGACAGTGAGGTAGATCCAGCAAGGGCACTGAGAGGGCTTCCCTTTTTTTGAGATGGAGTCTCTGTGTCACCCAGGGTGGAGTGCGGTGGCATGATCTCAGCTCACCGCAGCCTCCACCTTCCCTGTTCAAGCAGTTCTCCTGCCTCAGCCTCCCAAGTAGCTGGGACTACAGGCACAAGCCACCACCCTCGGCTAATTTTTGTATTTTTAGTAGAGGTGGGGTTTGGCCATGTTGGCCAGGCTGGTTTCGAACTCCTGACCTCAAGTGATCTGCCTGCCTCGGCCTCCCAAAGTGCTGGGATTACAGGCGTGAGCCACTGCTCCAGGCCTGACAGGGCCTTGTTCTTAAATAAGAAAGAACTAAACACAAATGTTATTGGCGAATTACAGCTAATTTATCTTTTCTATGAAGAAATACTTCGTTAACTTTAGTTTTAAAAGTAAGGACCCCTGGGCGCAGTGTCTCACACCGGTAATCCCAGCCCTTTGGGAGGCCGAGACTGGCAGATTACCTGAGGTGAGGAGTTCAAGACCAGCCTGACCAACATAGTGAAACGCCATCTCTACTAAAAATACAAAATTCGCTGGGCGTGGTAGTGCATGTCTGTAATCTCATATACTTAGGCTGAGACAGGAGAATCGCATGAACCCAGGAGGTGGAGGTTGCAGTGAGCCAAGATCCCGCCATTGCACTCCAGCCTGGGCAACAAGAGCAAAACTCCATCTCAAATAAAAAATAAGGACCATTAGTTTAAAAGGAGGGGGAGAGGGCACTGCTCTGCCTATAAAGTAATCACCCTTTTATTCCTTTAAAAAGAAAAATGGCCGGGCGCGGTGGCTCAAGCCTGTAATCCCAGCACTTTGGGAGGCCGAGACGGGCGGATCATGAGGTCAGCAGATCGAGACCATCTTGGCTAACACGGTGAAACCCCGTCTCTACTAAAAAAATACAAAAAACTAGCCGGGCAAGGTAGCTACTCGGGAGGCTGAGGCAGGAGAATGGCGTAAACCCGGGAGGGGGAGCTTGCAGTGAGCTAAGATCCAGCCACTGCATTCCAGCCTGGGCGACAGAGCGAGACTGCGTCTCAAAAAAAAATAATAATAAAAAGAAAAATTCCTTTAAAAAGAAGAAAAAAAAAAAATCTCACATAGTCCTGTGAATGCAGACATTGGCAGATGGCATTTCTGCTGGGGGAGTAATGAACACGGACAGCCTGGGGGGCACCCGCAGGAGCCTGCAATGCTAAACGCTAGAGTGTTCCAGACCCTTGACCCCTCTCCGTGTCTGCCCTAGAGGAACCTATAAACAAGGAAGTGTTGGGCTTGGGTGTCCCGTCAGGTTGTGAGCATTTGGACACAACTGAAAAGTTCCGGTAAACCGCAGCCCTTTCATACCAGGGTCTCCTCCAGAAAGTGCTGAGATCCACAGAGGCAGGCGTGGGAGGATCCAAGACATGTTGGGTGAACTGAGGAACTTGCAGTCATTTGGGTCCAGAACACAATGAGGCAAGACTATACATTTCTGCTGGGACAGAAACACAGTTTTCCCAGAGATAATTGACCTCAGGACCCCTACGGATACCAAAATTTGCAGAGGATCAAGTTTCTGATATAAAACGGTGTGATACTTCTGCATATAACCCATGTACATCCTCCTGTACACTTTAAATCACTTCTAGATAACTTCTGATACAATGAAAATGCTGTCAGTAGTTGGTATACTGCACCGAGGTGCTTTTTTTTTTTTTTTTTTTTAGTAGCTCCCTGCACACACCCTTTTGTTTTGTTTTGTTTTGTTTTGTTTTGAGACAGGGTCTCACTCTTTCACCCAGGCTGAAGTTAAGTGGTACAATCATAGTTCACTGCAGCCTCTACCTCCTGGTTTCAAGTGATTGATCCTCCCACCTCTGCCTCCAAGTAGTTACCACACCTGGCTAATACTATTTTTTGTGGAGACGGGGTCTCACTATATTGCCCAGGCTGTATATCTAATAACTGTGTAGGTAAAGGATCAAAAGAAGAAAATCTGAGCCTGGGCACAGTGGCTCACACCTGTAATCCCAGCACTTTGGGAGGTGGAGGCGGGCGGATTGTTTTGAGCTCAGGAGTTCAAGAACAGCCTGGGCAACCGTCTCTACCAAAAAAAAAAAAAAGAGACCGTCTAGCTCTTGTCTTTTGTGTTTTATATACAAAGACTGGAGGAACACGCTAAAATGTCATCTGTATCCCTGCCAAAAGGTACAACTGGTAATGTCCTCACACCTGGGGGGCCTGCCAGCCCCACTTCACAAGGACTCATTTAATCCTGTGGTCTAGGGAGTGAAGGTTCCAGTTCACACTCACTCACTATGAAGCATATACTCTGATACTCTGTTGCTTTTTTTTTTTTTGAGAAGGAGTCTTGCTCTGTTGCCAGACTGGAGTGCAGTGGCTCACTGCAACCTCTGCCTCATGGGCTCAAGTGATCTTCCTGCCTCAGCCTCTCTAGTAGCTGGGACTACAGGTGCATGCCACCACGCTCAGCTAATTTTTGTATTTTTAGTGGAGACGGAGTTTCACCATGTTGGCCAAGGTGGTCTCGATCTCTTGATCTCATGATTTACCCGCCTCAGCTTCCCAAAGTGCTGGCATTAAGGCGTGAGCCACCACGCCTGGCCTGTTGCTTATTTTTGACTATTTCCTGAAATCACTTGTCAAGCTCCAGGAAATGTTGGATAAATGAGGCCCAGTTCACGTTATACCTGATCACACACACACACAGCCTGGGCCTCATTCCTGGGATTTTCCTGGACTCCTCCCGTGGGCCGGAGAAGCCTTCTCCCCGCTGGAGTGTATGGTTCTGCAGACCACGTAGTGGAGGCACAGCCCTGGAGTCTGCATAACCCAGCGTCCTAAAGTCAGCCCTGGGACCTGGCTGGGGGTGTCTAGGTCCCCTTCGGCAGCTCTACTGTTGTGCAGCAGGGTACGTGAGCGCAGTGAACGCGAACAACGCATGCAGGCGCAGTGGGAGCGCGAGGAGCGTGAGCGGCTGGAGATTGCCCGAGAAAGGCTGGCCTTCCAGCGCCAGCGGCTGGAGCGTGAGCGCATGGAGCGAGAGCGGCTGGAGCGCGAGCGCATGCACGTGGAGCACGAGCGCAGGCGCGAGCAGGAGCGCATCCACCGTGAGCGCGAGGAGCTGCGGCGCCAGCAGGAACTGCGCTACGAGCAGGAGCGGCGGCCTGCGGTGCGGCGGCCCTACGACCTGGACCGGTAAGCAGATCTGCGCTGCCCTTAACACGTGGCGTTCAGAATCGTGTTAGGGACCTCACAGTTGAGTTAACTTGACTTTTTTTTTTTTTTTTTTTTTTTGAGATGGGAGTCTCTCTTTGTCGCCCAGGCTGGAGTGCAGTGGCTCAATCTCGACTCACTCCAAGTTCCACCACCTGTGTTCACGCCAGTCTCCTGCCTCAGCCTCCCAAGTAGCTGGGACTAAAGGCGCCCGCCACCTTGCCTGGCTAATTTTTTTGTATTTTCAGTGGAGACGGGGATTCACTGTGTGAGCCAGGATGGTCTCGATCTCCTGACCTCGTCATCCACCCGCCTCAGCCTACCAAAGTGCTGGGATTACAGACGTGAGCCACCGCACCCGTCCAGCTTGAGATCTTTCATTCAAAGGAAGCATAGGCCGGGCACACTCGCTAAGCCTGTAATCGTAACATTTTGGGAGGCCAAGGTGGGCGGATTGCCTGAGCTCAGGAGTTCGAGACCAGCCTGGCCAACATGGCAGAACCCCGTCTCTACTAAAACACAAAAAATTGGTTGTGGTGACAGGCGCCTGTAATCCCAGCTATTTGGGAGATTGAGTCAGGAAAGTCGCTTGTACCCAGAAGGCATAGGTTGCAGTAAGCCAAGATCGCGCCACTGCACTCCAGCCTGGGCAACAGGGTGAGACTCCGTCTCGAAAAAAGAAATTAGAGACAGGAGACTGGATAAAGTAGTGCTGGTTAACTAATCGGGTTCAAGGGTGGCACAGACCTTCTGAGGAGGGAAGCTAGGGCAGGCGGAGCGTCATGTCACAAGTGCCCAGAGGAGGGGCTGTCAATTGCATCTCCTTTAAGACTCTTCCCTGGCTTTTTTATTCATTTATTTTTTTTATTTTTTTTTTTTTTTGAGACAGAGTCTCGCTCTATCGCCCAGGCTGGAGTGCAGTGGCTCAATCTCGACTCACTCCAAGTTCCACCACCTGTGTTCACGCCAGTCTCCTGCCTCAGCCTCCCGAGTAGCTACCTTGCCCGGCTAGTTTTTTGTATTTTTTAGTAGAGACGGGGTTTCACCGTGTTAGCCAGGATGGTCTCAATCTCCTGACCTCATGATCCGCCCGTCTCGGCCTCCCAAAGTGCTGGGATTACAGGCTTGAGCCACCACGCCCGCCCGCCTTTTTTTTTTAGACAGCGTCTTGCTGTGTCGCCCAGGCTGGAGTGCAATGGCACGATCTCAGCTCACTGCAACCTCCATCTCCTGGGTTCAAGCGATTCTCCTGCCTCAGCCTCCCTAGTAGTTGGGATTACAGGCACCTACCACCACACCCGGCTAATTTTTGTTTTTTTAGTAGAGATGGGGTTTCACCATGTTGGTCAGGCTGGTCTCAAACTCCTGACCTCAGGTGATCCACCTACCTCAGACTCCCAAAGTGCTGGGATTACAGGCATAAGCCACCGTGCCTGGCCTTGTCCTGGCTTTGTTAATCAATTGTAATTTGTTTTTGCTTATTCTGGAAATAAAGAATTAAAAAAAAAAAACTTTTGAGACAGAATTTTGCTCGTTTCCCAGGCTGGAGTCCAATGGCACGATCTCGGCTCTCTGCAACCTCCGCCTCTTGGGTTCAAGCAATTCTCCTGCTTCAGCCTCCCAAGTAGCTGGGATTACAGGCATGTGCCACCACACCTGGCTAATTTTTTGTATTTTTAGTAGAGACAGGGTTTCACCATATTGGCCAGGCTGTCCAACTCCTGACCTCAGGTGATCCACCTGCCTTGGCCTCCCAAAGTGCTGGGATTACAGGCATGAGCCACCATGCCCAGCAGTAAGATTAATTTTAATTTCCCAAACATACTGAGGAGGAGATAGGAACACAAAATGCTGAGCACAGCTGCTGTCAGGAGTCAGGTGCATAATTCCAGCAGTGGTTGTGTCAGGCTTTACACGTGCACTGCAACCTGGCAAAAATCGCTGTTTGTTGTTTCTTTCTATTGCATGGGTTGAAGAGGAGCCTAGATCATATACAGTGCAACTTCTGTAAAGGGCCTTGTAAACGCTTCTGGGATCTAGTATGCCTCGGTACGAAAGCCTTCTGATGAGAGTTCATTATAGTCATCTGTGTGTGCAGCAGTACATGGCCGGGGCTGCTGGCAGGACAGGAGGTGGGGCACAAGAGATGGCAAGTGCACTTGACAGAGCCCCTCAGGGTGGAGGCTCACGTGGCTTCCTGAGCGGAGGTGGCTGTGTAGGGCTCCAGAAGCCATCTGCAGGCAGCCCATAGGACTGACTGCTTAACTAAATGGCAGTTAACTAATGGCTCCCCCTTTAGAAAACCAAGGCCGCTTTGATCAGGGGAGGTGGGTGTGTGGGACAAAACAAAACAGCTGTGCAGTCACTGGGGTCAAATCAGATCTTGTCTTCTATAGCAGAGAACAATCTTGGTGAAAGTCATCCTGGTTCTGTGAAGTGATAGGGGCCAGCTCCCACAAAGGTGATAGACACATATGGGGTAGAGGATCCCTCTATCTCTGTCTCTTGTCCCCTCACAGGCGAGATGATGCCTATTGGCCAGAAGCCAAGCGGGCCGCCCTGGATGAGCGCTACCATTCTGACTTTAACCGCCAGGACCGCTTCCACGACTTTGACCACAGGGACCGCGGTCGCTACCCCGACCACTCGGTGGACAGGTCAGTTGGGCCCCTGCTGGGCGTGCAGGTTTTCTTTTTCCTGGCTCATTCTCTGACTGAGAACAAGGACTCCTGGGCTCTCTGAGCCCACTCCATTCATCAGGTGTGTGCTGAGTCAGGCCCGCAGGTCTCCTGCCTCCAGTTGGGGAAGTGATGCTTTTCACTGGGGGCCTGATGGTCCTTTCTTTTTGCAGAAGCCTATTCCTCCCCTTACGGTTTGATTTAAATTACCTTTTCAGGAGAGAAGGTTCAAGGTCAATGATGGGAGAACGAGAAGGACAGGTAAGTCCAAAGCTACAGTGGTAGCCACAGAATTTCCCGTAGAATGGGTTCTTTTCCCTTCAGCGTGCCTTCTTCCTGCCCTTATCCTTGAGTGAGAGACAAAATGAGGAAAGAGAAAAATATAGCACTAGAAAAGTCTAGGTGTGTGGGATGAAAATTTGGGATTATTTGGGGTTAGTCTTGGCTGTCAGTCCGAACAGTTACTCTGAAGCTGTTATTAGCCTTGACCCCGGGGTTCTGTGTCCCACACTGACCACACACGTGCAGAAGTGCCAGGGAACCTTGCGGTGTGACCTGGCTCTGCTGGGAAGTGTCTAGGGAGCCGCACAGCTGACTCAGACAGGTGCATCTGGGAAGGCTGTGGTTACTGTGTCTGTCCTCGAGTGCCTGCCCTCTTTGGAAACTAAGGACATCCTTCATCACCCCAGGGCCCCGCTTAGCCTTGGAAAACAACTAGGTCTCTGATCTGTGCTCGTTCTCCTTGGGGGGCTAGCACGTTAGAACAATAAGCTTCATTTTCTCTTTCCATCTTACGTTGAGACTGAGACTTTCCAGGAGAGCCTTGGACCTCTAGTGGCTTTCCCTATAAACTGGGGGGCGGCACGTTGCTGTGTGGAAGATGCCTCCTCTCTGAAGACTCCATTCATGAGCCCTTTCTCCTCTTGCCAGCATTTTTGGACTCCAGCATAAGCTTCCCATTTCTGTCCCCCTTGGTTCCTTAATGTGGCTGAGCATAGCCAAGTACTCAGCTCTGTCTTGGGATCCTTAGGAATTCCATCAGCCTCATGGGGTTGCTTTTTCCCTGCTCCTGGAGGCAAATTATATGCAGCAAAACCTAGAACTAGTCCTGTGGATTTTCTCTGGTGGAGGAACATACACCAGTGGTTCCATGTCCAGGCTCCAGAATCAGACAGAACTGGGGTCACACCTTGGTGTCACCCCTTCCTGCCTAGCCTGTCTCCCCAGCAGTGAAATGAGGGTAATATTCCTCCTACAGAGGTTGGGGTGGTGGGGAGTTTACATGAGGTGGGCGCATGTCGGTACGAACGTGTTTATCATTGCCAGCTACTTTTTTTTTTTTTTTAATAGAGACGGATCTCACTGTGTTGCCCAGGCCAGTTTTGAACTCCTGAGCTCAAGTGATCCTCCTGCCTCGGTCTCCCAAAGTGTTAGGATTACACATGTAAGCTAGCATGCCTGGCCACCAGCTACTTTCATGCAGGTGTCAGATACGCTCTCCTAATAGTGGAAGGCAATTTGATCCTTTCTCCTCACACAGTCATAAATGAGTCATCACAGTTACCCCAAAGGCCAATGATGATCTCTCCCTACAGAGAAAACTAGCACAGAACTTAAGGGCCTTGTTGAACTGTTAACCTGGGTTGGTTGGACAGAAAAATGTTGGTTCAATTTTCAAATACTAAGGAGAGCTTATTTCAGGAGGCCCTTTTTTTATTTTGTTGAGGGGAGGTGTCAGAGCACACGCTGGGAAGAATCGACCAGGGAAGCAGGCAGTGGTAATGTGGGACATCTTGCATATGGTGGAGCATGCTGCCATCTTTGCCTTCACCCTGGCAGAGCTCTCTCTCCATTGAATGGGGAGGTGAACTTGGACATGTACGATGACCAGGCTGCATCAAGGAGGTTTCCTTACCAGGACTCTTTTCTAGTTTCCTTTCACCTACAATATGGTCATGGGGCAGAAGCCCCAGAGGCCACATACGTATTTGTGGAAAGAGAAAGAACAGGACTGTGGAGCCAAAACTCCCTCACTAGCGTTTGTGAAAGTCAGGCTGGAAAGTGCTTCCAGCCACAGAAACAGGCTGTGGGTGTAAATATTAACCTTGGCCAGCAAAAAAGTAGGCATAGAGTGTGACTCGCCCTCTCTTAGTCTTCCCTGAAATAGCAGGGTCAAGAACTCCTGGTCTGTGTTAGCCATGTGGTTTACAAAAACAGTGACACAGAGGAGGGAATAGTGGGACTGGCCAAGTGGATGACCAGCCATTTATCTCTTAGTGTCCTGTGTCCTATGTCCTGAGCAGAGCAAGACGTAAGGTCCTAGACCAGGCACCCAGCAGAAACTTCTGAGAAACTTGACTGTGAGGAAGGATGCTTGCTCGCCTAGCAATTGGTTGGATGAAGGGGCTCTGTTTGATACTTCCTTCACTGTGGAAGGAAGAAATTTGTAAAAATTATTTCCGGAATATGCACACATTAAAGATTTGTAAAGCTGACCTTCCCTTAGTAGAAGACACTTAATAAGAGTACTGTTGGCTCTGGGCACTAATCATTTGAGCTGTGGGACCCAGGGAATCTCTCTCGCAAGCATCATCTTTAGTGTGACCCCTGGTGGCCCTTCCGGCTCTGGTGGCGCTGTGGGTACCTGCCTTGGAGATTCCTTGGTACTAGTACCTTTTGTGTACCAGGCTATGAGCCTAGAGCACAGGGCCTCTGGCCTGCAGATTTCAGGGAGGCAGCTATGTCATGTGAACCAGTATGGCCTGCCAGCACTTCTGTCCAGAGTGACTGTCGTTGTCATCGTTAGCGTGTTGCCTGAAAAGCCTTGGGGTCTGGGGGCTGACACTGAAGGTTTTTTTCCTCCTGGCCCTGTGATTTCCAGCATTACCCAGAACGCCATGGAGGACCAGAGCGCCACGGCCGGGACTCCCGCGATGGCTGGGGGGGCTATGGCTCCGACAAGAGGATGAGTGAGGGCCGGGGGCTGCCTCCTCCCCCCAGGTTTGTGTCCCACACCCCACAGTACCTGTCCCTGGCCTCACAGAGTCAGCTGACCGGATAGGTCTGTCCCACCAAGGGGCCCCCAAGTCTCTGGGATGTGGGCACAGGGTGGGAAAAACACAGGGATTCACCCTCCAGAAGCCACCACATTTATTAGCACGAGAGCCAGAGATGGGGGCAATCCAAATCAGAGATGTCTCTCTTTCAAGGGGCAGACGTGACTGGGGGGACCATGGCCGAAGAGAGGATGACCGGGCATGGCAGGGCACGGCTGACGGTGGCATGATGGACAGGGATCACAAGAGGTGGCAAGGTGAGGAGCAGCTCTGGGCTGGGACCAGGGTGTGCTGGGAAGTGATGGAAAGATGGAGGCCACGCCTTCTCTCCTCAGGTGAGCACAGGAGGTGCTCTGCCCTCAGTGCTGGAATGAGGAGTGAAAAGCACTTCAGACACCACCTACTCTCTGGTAGTCTGGCCCAGGAGTTGGACAGTGGGCGTTCCCGAGTCCTCTCTGCTGGGAGGACACTGGACGTCTGTGGTTACTGTGCCGAGGTGTCCTTCTGGGACCTGCTAGTTCCGGGTACCTGGGGGCCTCGCCAAAGGGAGTGCAGTGGGCTAAATGTGCCGTGGGTTCCACGCTATGTGTGCAGGTTCCCTGTGTGAAAGCACGTCTGTCTTCCAGGTGGTGAGAGAAGCATGTCCGGTCACTCGGGGCCTGGCCACATGATGAACCGAGGAGGGATGTCAGGGTAAGGCATGCCAGGGGCGGCTCCCCTTTCCCCTGCTTTGCATATTGGCCTACCTTGGAGGACGCTTAACAACCAGTCCTTCCAGCTAACGCCCCCTCCCCCAAGTGTGACATGAGGCCAGGCATGGGGTACTGTGGAGCCTGCCACCACTCAGGAGGGGAAGGCATCAGGAAGGGGCCTTGCCTGCAGGCAATGTCCAGGGAAGCTGTGCAGGCTGGGATGGGCCAGGGGAGCAGGATGATTTCACAGTCAAACCAATGTGAATTTGTTCCTAGGCGCGGCAGCTTTGCCCCAGGCGGGGCCTCCCGGGGCCACCCCATCCCACACGGTGGCATGCAAGGCGGGTTCGGAGGCCAGAGCCGGGGGAGCAGGCCCAGCGACGCCCGCTTCACTCGCCGCTACTGAGTACTTGGAATCCTGTGTCCTGTCACGTGGCAACAAGGCTATGTTCTGTTAGGAGTTATCTTAAACTGTGTAAAAATATTTTTTTTTTAATCTGCTGCCATATTGTAGCTCAATACAATGTGAATTTTGTTTTTCGTTTTGGGGGTTTTTTTTTTTTTTGTAATAAATGTGTTTCCGTTCACATACCCTTTATTTAAAGTGTCATTTCTTTATTTCCGCCTCTTTAAATGAAACGAAATTATACTTGAGTGCCTTTTGGTTGTATTGATATACATTGACTGTTCCTTTTATTATTTTTTTCCTTTTTTTTTTTTTGAGATGGAGTCTCGCTTTGCCACCCAGGCCTGGAGTGCAGCGGCACAATCTCGGCTCACTGCAAACTCCGCCTCCCGGGTTCAAGTGATTCTCCTGCCTCGGCCTCCTGACTAGCTGGGACTACAGGCACCTGCCACCACGCCCGGCTAATTTTTGTATTTTTAGTAGAGTGGGGTTTTGTCATACTGGTCAGGCTGGTCTTGAACTCCTGACCCTCGTGACCTGCCCGCCTCGACCTCTCAAAGTGGTGGGATTACAGGCATGAGCCACCGTGCCTGGCCAACTCTGTTTATTTCTAAATGTGTATGAAACGCATGTGATAGAAAACCTCCAGGAAGGCATCCGGGTGTGGGAGAGGCTTTCCAGTGAGACGATGATTTTCGCGTAATGGGCCTGTGCGGTGCAGGTTTTGCCTGGCTTCTCAGGTCAGCGAGCTGTCCGCTCCTTTAATGTTAGCCCAGACGGGGCTGCTCTGCTCTTGGGTGCTGGGTGACATCCCTGTCAGGGTGTGGGGGTCTCACACCCTGTTGATGGACACTGGCAGATGCTTCCCCCACGGATCACACTCAAACCAAGCCTGTGAAGATTTCCAGCTGCCACTTTCCACGCTGACTTGCCAGAGCCCAGTCACCATCATCATGTGGATGCTTCCGCATTACCTTTTTACTCAGAGGACAAACTGTTTTCACGGCAGAGTCGAGGGTGGAAGCAGTGAAGGCTGAAGGTCCTCAGCAGCATCTCAGGCCTGCGGTGTGCTTGTGCGTGGGCGCAGCCCCCTCGTGCCAGGATGGGGGCTCTGACCAGCCCAGGGCTGGCCTCCGTGTCGGCCGGAAGGGACAAGCTCAACGCCAACCCTCCACCTACCAATAGCAGGCTGGAGCCACGGCACCTGGGATCCAGCACCTGTCCTAATCCAGGAAGCCAGACCAGACTTGGGACATACCTCAAACTGTGAAGCGGGTGCCTCCCACATTTTGTAAGCCTCACTAGTGGAAAGTGAGGAGGAAGCAGCGTCCAGCAGACAGGAAGACGGCGGAGCCCTGGTGACGCTCTAGGGTCCCTTCAGCTGTAAAGGACAGGTGGCCCGACCAATACCAGTGGTGGCTTAGATGATAAAGGGGGGCCCTTCCCTGCCTTAACGGGAAGTCTGCAGGTAGTCAGTTCCCGGGATTCACTGCAGCCCACCTCAGGCTCTGTGTCTCAGGATTTTGGGGCTCATGGATGACGGATGGCTGAAAGCTCCAACAATCCTATCCACCCACAGTGTGGGTATCATCGGGGCCTATCCAGCAGGACAAGGAAGGGCAGGAACAGGGACTTGCACTCAGAGGCCTCTTGGCAAACTCACCCCTGAGGCTCTTCAGCCGGAACTCGGTCCCGTGCTCGCCTTTCTTGTGACCTGTCCCTGGCGAAGACGGAATGTTTCCTTTCAGAAGGAAAGTGACATCCAGGAAGGAACCCAGTGGTAACCCCCAGGAGCCATGTTCTCAGCCTTCCCCTCATACCTTTTTTTTTTTTAACACAAGCAGTTCACATTGTTTGTACTTTTTTTGTTTTGTTTTGTTTTTGTTTTTGTTCTTGTTTTTTGAGATGGAGTCTCCCTCTGTCTCCCAGGCTGGAGTGCAGTGGTGCAATCTCGGCTCGCTGCAACCTCTGTCTCCTGGGTTCAAGCAATTCTCCTACCTCAGCCTCCTGAGTAGCTGGGACTACAGGCGCCTGCCACCACGCCCGGCTAATTTTTGCATTTTTAGTAGAGACAGGTTTTCACCACATTGAGCAGGCTGGTCTCAAACTCCTGACCTCAGGTGATCTGCCCACCTCGGCCTCCCAAGGTGCTGGGATTACAGGTGTGAGCCACCGCACTCCATTTTTTTGAGCCATATGCAGTTGTGCATGCCAGTAATCAATCCCAGCTACTTGGAAGGTCAAGGCAGGAAGATTGTTTAAGGCCAAGAGTTCACGTCCAGCCTGGACAGTAGAGCAAGACCCCATTTCTTTGATGGGTTTTAGGGGGTATTTTTTTAAATAAATGACAGACCGTGTGTGGTGGCGCCTGTAATCCCAGCACTTTGGGAGGCCGAGGTGGGTGGATCATCTGAGGTCAGGATTTTGAGACCAACCTGGCCAACATGGCGAAACACTGACTCTACTGTAAACACAAAAATTAGCTGGGTGTGGTGGTGCACGCCTCTAGTCCCAGCTACTCAGGAGGCTGAGGCAGAATAATCACTTGAACCCAGGAGATGGAGTTTGCAGTGAGCCAAGATTGCACCACCACACTCCAGCCTGGGCAACAGAGCAAGACTTAGTCTCAAAAAAAAAAGGCCGGGCGCGGTGGCTCAAGCCTGTAATCCCAGCACTTTGGGAGGCCGAGACGGGTGGATCACGAGGTCAGGAGATCGAGACCATCCTGGCTAACACG